TTTTTTTTGGATTTTTTTGGGTTTTTTAGTCTTGATTTTTTTTTTTTTTTTTTGCCAATGAAAACCTGGTTACCAGGCAAACAAAGCATGATGGGTTTTTTTTTTTTTTGCATGTTTTTTAGCTGCTCCTATTGAAGACTATCGGGGCCAAACCGCTCAACTCCGCTCCGAAAGAAGCTCGAGTGTTTGTTTGAGCTACAGGCGTTTTGCTTCAGGCGACAGAACGCTCAGATGTGAACAGCCACCCCGGAAAACAATGGGATTCCTCCTGTTGAGCATTGCAGCACTTCGGCATTCCAGCTATAAAACGCTCAGGTGTGAATGGGACCTTATAGTACTAGATCCGAAAAGGACAACAAAGCTGAAGGTATTAGTGGCCTCTCTTATGGTCCCGGAATATCTTCCCAATCACTTCTACTGTCGTGGTAACCGACCCGCTCCCCTATTTATAATGGTCCGGCCCTTTAGCAACTTCAGCGCCAAATTATAGCTAATGTGCCTACAAACATCAGGTGGTCATAATAAACTGGCCACTCAGTGTATATATATATATATATGTAGATGGGAATACAGTCTTCTGAACCTTACCTCTAGCCTGCAGATGTAATACTTCTTCTGTGAGGTTCTTTTCTGAGGAGAAAATAAAATAAAGAATCAGTCTCGAGGTTGTGAAGACTCTTCTAGTTGTTTCTCTGATCCCGAGTTCCTGATTCCGTGCTTTCTCATTTCAGTGTCCATGCTTTCTCACTTTATGACCTTGAGATGTTACTGACTTTGCTCTGCCTTTTTGGTTCCTCGGTGACTACGCCTATGATTCCTCTCCTTTCACCTGTCTTTGAAACATCTTGATTACTGTTCTGGTATTGCACCTTGATACTTCTGCTGCTGACCCCGGCCTGTCTCCAGACCTCTCCCAGCTGCTCATCCTGTACATTGTTTTCTGCAACCAACATTTCTCGGCCAATTTCTAAAACCAACAACTTCTCTTAGAGCCATCACTATACTTATCCAGCTTCTGGGAGAACCCAACAGCCGTGCTTACCTCCGGCAGCCTGAAAAGGTCTACTCATCACATAATCAGATCTTCCAACCTTTCCAGCTGCCTTCTAAACTGAGATCTGTCATCTGTGACTACAACAAGCTTCCGTCAGACACAAGACTGTAATGGATGTGGTTAAGTGACTATGATAAAAATGCCTATTTCAATATATATTGTAATATAAATATATGTTATTGCTCCTGTTCATATGATCATGTTGTTCAACCTCATTTACAGGGGTAATATTAGTTCCCGTTTCAAAGAAATTCGGATCCGAAATTCGTAACGGAATTTCGTATTTCGGATATAAATTCGGAAACTGCAATTCGGATTTCGTATGCTTCCGAATTTACGAATTTCGGGAAAATTCGTCCGAATTTCGATTCGTAACGAAACGAATCGCACATGTCTATTAAATAGCCACGAACGTCCGGAATACGCCGGATTATCGCGCTTGGACTACTTCGGGGGCCGCACGGCCCTCGCAATGGTCTGAAAAATGCACATGGAAGTGCATTGACTTCTCTGCTATGAGCGGCTCCGCGTGTTTCCGTACAGCCGAATAAAACTTTTTACAGTAAACTCCTGCAGCACCCTGCCAACAGGAGTGCTATACAATGTAGTTGTTCTCAGACTGTACTTAGTCTGAGATAGATCTGTAGTGTATGTTCATCTCAATTTCTTCAGAACAATCTGTGATGCTGCATCTGCCTGTTGCTGGGTGTGTTGTGCCACACGGAGCAGAGCAGCCAATGAGGGTTGTTCTGAGCATTTGTGCCTCCTGGCCAATCACTGGAGGGCAGGAGCAGTGATGCACGCTGGGAGAGGATATAAATGCTCAGTGTGGCTGATGCAACGGTCTCTTCCCTCCCCCTGTTCCTTCCTCGGAAGGTGGGGGACTGCTACAGAGAGACTGAACTGGCTGGGCCTAAGCCTGGGGACTAGCTTGATTCTAACACTGGGGCCTGGAGGTCCAGTGGTCAGCCACTGATGCTGCAGATGGACATAGACGAGGACTTCTGAAGTGCTGCTTTGCCTGATGCTTTCTGGACAGATTGAAGGTCTGGCTTAAAGGTCCAAGTCTGTAATGGCCACAGTTACTGTGTTCTAATTTCTAAAGGAGTCTACCTCATCCTGGATGTACCTGACCCCCGACCTTCTGTCCCTGAAGCTTCAGCAATAAAAGAGATTCAGCTTTGATCTACTGTCTGGACTTTGTCGGTCGCCACTGGAGGTGGTAAGTGCTATTGGGGTAGCAGGTGCTTAGAAATCCCTAGACAGGCTATGGAAGACCCGATCATCCAGCGGCCCTTGCGGGGGTAGCGCTACGCTCCGTAACAAGGACTAGAGGCCACCACCTAAAACTGGTGGAGAAAAGATTTAACCACAAGGGGCGGAGGGGGCTTTTTTTCCAGTGAGATCGGTTAAAGTCTGGAATTCGCTGCCACAAGAAGTGGTATCAGATGAGAGTGTTGAATCATTCAAAAAGCATTTAGATACCTTCCTCAGAGACCGTAACATACAGGGGTACAGGTACTCTTACAAACAAGGACGGAAATGGGACTCGTATACACACATGCACAATCACACACAGACACGCAAAGGTTGGACTTGATGGACCTGTGTCTTTATTGAACCTCAAATACTATGTAACTATTGTGGCAGTGCGTGGCGATGCCACGGTGTAGTATGGCAACATTGGCACCCAGGACTCTCAGCCAAAGGGGCTGAGAGGGTCCAGAATGTTATAAGGAAGAGCCGGGCTTTTCAGGTCCTTCCAGGTTTTCCTAAATGTCTTTTAGAGTTTTCTTAGAGCTCTGGGTGGGATGAGATCTCCAGTCCTGGGGCCAGGTGTTACCAATGACCAGCTTGGGCTGATCAAGTGACTGAGAGCAGTGGCGTCACAAAGGGGGTGCGGGGGTGCGGCCCGCACCCGGGTGACACCAAAACTACTCACAGTCATTTTGGTGTCACCCTCCTCTGAAAAGTCGGGCGCTCGGTCATGGACCGAACGCCCGACAGTATCAGGAGAGAGGAGGGGACCTGGCGGCATACCTTATCCTTCCGGGTGACTGTCCCCTCCTCTCTCTGCTGGCGTCCATCACCAAGATGGCCGCCGGCAGGTATCAGAATACTGCCGCGCGTGCGCGATGATGTCACGCGCATGCGAAGGGAGGAAGCCAGCGGGGAGTGACACTCGGTTATCGCTCTGGGTGTCACCTAGCCTCGGGGCGCCCTTGGCTGAGAGCAGCCTCATTAGGAAGCCCACCCCAGTGCTCAGAGGGTTGAGAGAGCTGTGTGGGTGCAGGAGGCACAGAGCCACAGCAGACTCAGGTGCGTGCTGGACACGTGGGACAGCCAAGGATGGCTGGGAAGGTCGGTGACCCTAGGACTTGTGGGACACACTGCTGAGAGAGCAGAGTGAGGGCTCACGAGGGGTGAGCAGTGCGAGTTTCTTGGAGCTGTGGAAAGCTACAGAGCGAAGCTAAAAGACTGTCCTTTATGTTGCTGCTAGAACCTGTCTTGTGCAACAGGGGAGGTCTACCCTGTTGGAATTAGATATTTAGGGGAGGTCTACCCTCTTGGAATGAGATATTTAGGGGAGGTCTACCCTCTTGGAATTAGATATTTAGGGGAGGTCTACCCTCTTGGAATTAGATATTTAGGGGAGGTCTACCCTGTTGGAATGAGATATTTGGTGTTTGCCCTTAATAAAACTGCATTTTACTTGCACCTCCGGTCTACAGTGGAGTGTCCTTGTTACACTATGTAACTAGGAATACGCGCGGACGGCCGCTCGGGTGTGAACAGAGCCTTACTGATTGCTCTGCTTATCCAGGTAGATTCGGATACAAACCTGTGGAGCTAAGCATATAAGCGTGTGATATATGGAGCAGAACTATGGGTAATTCCTAAGAAATGATCAATATCATGGACTTACTTGTTCCCTGGTTATCGGTTTCTATTTGGGAGTTGAGTTCGTCGACTGCAAACGAAAAAAAAATGCATTGTCTTTTTTATTTTTCTTTAGACAGAAAGGCGTGACCAGGTAAACCTTAAGATAAGATAAGAATACTGACAAGGCACTGTGAGGACCCATAGGGATTAATAATGGCCGAGTATGAAATTAGGGTTGATCCCTCCAAAGTGTAAGGAGATCCCCTCTTAGATGACACCAGGGGTTGAAGAGTCCACCTTCACCAGAAGTTTGGCTGCCACACCCGTGACTACAGAAGGCTTTTGCTTCCAATAATTTGTTAGTGACCCAATTTCATCTTTAGGATATTTCTGTCTCTACAAGTCCAGAATAATATATCTTCAGTAATCGTCGATTCCCGATGAAGGTGGACTTTTCTACATTTTTAATGAAGCTCCTTCTGGTTTCTGGAATGGACCTCGTTTGAACCTCCGGACTGAACCTCGTAATGTTTGAACCTCCAAAACAAGTTGGCTTTCATTGACTGATAACCAGGGCCGGATTTATTCTCTCTGCTGCCCCAAGGCCAGGTTCCTCAACACGCCCCCCTCCCTGCCAAACCCTCCCCATGAATGGCAACCAGATGACGGGG